CAACTATCACCATCTCACCTGCCTTCCCCCAGCTCTACCCCTCCTCTCTCCATTTATTTCCCAGCTCCCTACCCCCTCCCCAATTCTGAAGAAGGGGCCTGACCGGAAACGTTGACTTTCCTACTCCTCTGATGCTGCCTGATTTGCTGTGTTCCTCAAGATACAGCTGTATGTGTATGGGGAGGTGGTTTGCAGAACACTACTGCTCTGTCTGTAGAAGTGACTCTACCTTCTAGTTGTTTGACATTTCAATACGGTCACCTTCTCCCAGGCAAATGTTTCCACTCTGATCTCGATTAGTGTTCCAACAAAGCACAACTCAAGCTTGAGGAACAAACCCTCATTTTCCACTTCGGCACTTTACAGCCTGTATTGAATTCCACGACTTGAGAGCATAATCTCTGTATCTTTGATTTTTCTCGTATCCTTAACATTACGAGTCCAATATGACTTCTCTTGAGGGCTGAAAAATGGTGGTATGTTATGCTGTGGACTGAATGGAACAAATTGTGAGGCTGGTCAGAGCAAAAGACAAAAGCAGTGCTCATGGGGGTCAGGTAAATATGCAAAATGGATGTAAATAATTAGTGTAAAAGGTCTGCTTTGCTGGCAGATTTGACACTATTTCCTAAATAATATACCCTGAATCTTGACTAAGTGTTGATACTGAAGAATAAAGAATTTGGCTGTTCCTGTAGGGCAACAAGCAGTCTTCCATGTCATGTGGTTTTGGAATCATGTGCCCACCTGAGGATAGATAATCTCTCATTCAAAAGATACTACCTTTGATTATGTAGCATTGTATCTGTACTGTACTGTACTGAAGTATCAGCCTACCTGACTACCCCAGATCCTTGTTGATGTTCTGTCATTGAGTATTTTTAAGTCTGCAAGTGGTAGATTTTCAATCTGTACCAAATTATTTGGGGAATGGATATGAAGTAAAAGTTCAGCCATGTATGTATTGAGCGGCACAGCAATTTAAAGGAGTTTAATGATTTATTCCTGCTCCTGTTTCTTGTTTCTTATGCTCTCTCAAGACTTGGAATAAGGCTTAAATCCAGGATTTTCTGACTTCAAGTTGAAAGTGTTCATTTCCTGCCAAGGCTGACAAAATTCCAAGAGGCAGCTATTTAGAACATTGAGAAGAAATTGCTGAAACAGATTTTTTAAAAAGCTGCCTAATTGACTGTTAATGAGAGACAATTAATTTCTACTTCCTACAGACACATACCGTGAGCAAGTGACACAGACACAAGCCTACACTGCCTGCACACAGAGTGGGGAACACAGGCTCTCTTCCTGGCAAAATAGACGTTAGTCATTCCCCGATCCAGGGAACAGATTCTCTTAATTCTCCTACAGCACAATAAGAGTGACATTATTGATATACTATACGAAAAGTACCTCCCGTTCATATAGCGTATGTAGTATAAGGTTCATTGTGCTTCACCTCCCAAGCACCTAGAAGGACAAGGACTGTGGATGCACGGAACCCTGCAAGTTCCTTCAAAACCCCACACCCTCCTGACTTGGATCTATGTTGCCATTCCTTCACTGTCACATAGCCAGAATCCTGGCACTCCTTCCTACCAGCACAGTAAGTGTACTTATACCACATGAACTGGTTCGAGAAGTCAGCTAATAATGCTGGGGGAGGGGTAGGCAATAAATACTGACTTGGACAGCAATTCTCTCAGTCTAAGAATGAATTTTTAAAAATTTGGTTATCAAATAAAATTAGCAGTGAATAACTTAAGGAGATATTAGGACAGGTGTCCAAAATCTTGGCCTAAAGGGTGGTTTTTAAGGAGCGACTTAAGGGAGGACAAGGGATGACTTGGTTTAAGGAGAGATTTGCAGAGTTTCAGCTTGGCCATCAATGGTGTATTGATTAAACCAAGGCAATGCAAATCCAAAATTGAAATGTAATGAGAGGTTAACACAGCTGATCTGGTAAAAGAGTGCCAGAGACACTGGCATCTTCTATTAGTGTCGTACTGTGAGGGACACAGTCCATAACCTCTCCGACTGACAGTTATAGGTACACCCACTGTGCGTGTGGACAAATATCCTTTGAAGCATCTCTGATTCCCAGGCAATTGAGAAATGTCCCAATAGATGGGCTGAGTATGCCATGCAGGCTGGGTTTCGACAAACCATCTTTACGATGCTAACTAAGAGTGAGATTGCACATCGGCCTCTGTCCAGCTGGCAGTCGATGAGCAGAGATGAAAGTGGAAAGTGAAATTACGCACGACAGTAATGACTCCTGTGCTCAAACAGGAAGATGCAAGTTACATTTCAATTACACTTTTTCTTTGATTCGGTTCCAAGTGTGGTTTAATTTTTAATCAAGCTACCATATTGCTGGTCTGACCTACTTATCAAATACAGTATTTATAGAAAAGCTTGTGTTACAGAAGAGCACTCTTGGTGCTATGGTGTTTGAAGATTGCCTTTCGGTGAGACGGGAAAGGATGGGTACAATGCCCTATTTGTATACAATTCGTCTGCAACTGAAACATGCCAGCTGGAACATCGCATCTCCACAGATGAAATTCAATTAAGTGCAAAACTGGTGGGAACAAAAAAGGAGTTTAAATTTCACAGTCAATAAAACTTCAGAAGTTTCATCATCGCCTTAAACACTTCTCCTCCATTACTGAAGTAACAGCTGGCTGAATGTGAAAAAAGAACCATTATAGGCAAAGTGGCTTAGTTCCAGCATGATTAGATGAACTCCTTGTCAGAGAGGTTGGTAACTCCTGCAGGAGGATGATTGATCAGAGAGATTGGGAGCTTCCACATGAGGAAGAAGGATTGGAGAGGTTGATGGATTGATAGAGTGCTGGAGTCTTGATCAATATTAAGTCTGATTCTAAAGAGGTGACAGCTGCAAGGAATCTTCACCGTCTAACATACTTTCAACTTTCAACTCTCAACTAATTTCTCTTAAGAGTCATTTGGTCGTACTGAACTTGAATATTCTCCAAATGACTGTCAGAGTAATTAGTTGGGATTTGAAAGTATGTTAGGTTGTGGAATTTCCTTGCAACTGTTTCTTCCCCAGAATCCTATTTAATTCTTGATTTAAAGAAAAGGGTAGATTTTTCCAAGTCTTTATCTGTGATAAAGTAATCTGAGCTCAGATTAGAAATTGTTCGCAATTAGGTTGGGTTTAAGAAGTTAACAATATATGAGAGAAATATGGTAGATTTTCCATATCTTTGTCCATGGGAAAGTAGCATGAATACAGAAATTAGAATTGATAAAGAAGACATTTTATTAATTTATGGTAAATGAATCTCCCATACTTTTGTATCGAAACTGGGATCTTGACTGTGATAGAACAGTAAATAACTCTAAGTTGGAAAGTTTATGTTGATCATTTGGAGGAAGGTTTGAGGACTATTTTCATTCACAGCCTGAATTGACTTAAGTAGTTACTGATTTGAGCCAGAGTTGTGCTTTACCTGAGTGAAGCTTACCAAGCTTGTATACCTGACTGAAGAAATCAACCAGGTACTGACAAGTGGGCCATATAGAGTCATAGAGCCGTATAGCATGGAAACAGACCTTCAGTCCAACTCATCTGCACCAACCAGACATCCCAATCCAACCCAGGCCCATTTAGCCCATATCTCTCTTCAACCCTTCCTATTGATATACCCATCCAGATGCCTTTTAAATGTTATCATACCCACCTCCTCCACTACTTCTGGCAGCTTGTCCCATGCATGTATCACCCTCTGTCTCAAAGAGTTAACCCTCAGGTCCTTTTTAAATCTTTCCCCTCTCACCTCCTACCTAGGCCATCTATTCCCCGAACACATACAACCCCCCCCGCCCCCCGCCCCGGGAATGTTTTATAACTTCCACTCCCTTCTGATTCTGCAGCAGCAGTGTGAAAGCAGTCGGTCCAATATTCAAGGGAGATCATTTAAACTACCTAAGGCATCGAATGAAGATGAAATACTACATGAGCCAGATTTTGGCAGCTTGGTGTACTATGTTAAAAAGGCAAAATATACCAATACTGAAAATCTAAAACGAACACAGAGAATGTTGGAGAAACTCCAATTTAGCAGCATCTATGAAGAATGAAACAGAGCTGTATTCTTGAGTCCAGTATGACTCCTCTTCAAAGCGTTATTGGTGTACTATATTTATGTTCTGAGCAGAAAGGAGCTAAATAGCTCCTTTATCTGGTTACATTTTACATCTTCCACTTCAAAGTTTATGGAAGTTTTATGGTTTTATTTTTTTTTCTTTATCTTATCCCCATCATTTTACTGAGTCATTCTTCAAGTGACCAATCTTGCTGTATCGCCCTTGACTCATGCTGAAAGTAACTTTCTTGAAAGGTTTTATTATCCTGCGTATGATGCTGTTGATGGGAATCAGTTCAAAATGGTAATCATCATTTGCCTTTTCTAGTTCAGTGCCATAATTTTTAGTGTCAATGATTTCTTTTGGGATTGTATTGACTACTCATCCAGCTCTTTGCTGTTTGCAGCTCTGTCTGTGCATCTCTTGTCCTTTTGAAGTAAGAGTTTGGTTTATTATACGCCATGTGCTGAATCCACTGTAGATTGAAATCAGAAAGCAGAATGTCAACCCTTTCATTACATCATCCCACTCAACAGATTAATTCCCAAATTGTAGTCTGTAGTCTGGGCTAATGTGACATCTTCATCTTGCTGAGAATAATAGGTAAACAACATTACCCTAAAATCCCCAATTTGACTGCTGTTACATCATTTTAAGTAATCAGCACTGACTTCACCCCAGACACACGATACTAAGATAACGCTTCAACACTGCTACCTTTGGAAAAAGTGAGCACAGATGCATAATAACCTGAAAAATATTTGTAACAGTTATATTGTCATACATTATACATTCCAGTTACAGTAGAAATGTAAGTGGCAAAAGAACAGGAGCCACTGCCTTTAGAATCTAACCAAGCAGAACATTGAAAACAACAGGATATATGCATGCCTGAAATGGAGCCTGATGGTACAAATGACAACCCAACTCTGCCTTCAGTTAGTATGTAGCTCATGCTTATGCTCCTGGAAAATTTGAAACAAGCTTAATAGCCAGTTTTCTTTGGGCCACAGAAAATTGGTATCTTGTATTCCAGCCAAATTGCCAACAGTCCTGAAAATTACTTCCCAGAAGATTGAAGAAGGCTTCCCAACCTAGTTTTTGAAAGGCACCTCACTAACAAGTTGCAACTCGGAAGTAAATAGTGAGGATGAAATTAGTGCCGGTTTCTAGCAGCTCCCCACTTCCCCTCATCATTACACAGCAACATCAGGAATTTGCTCTATCACTGGAGATTGGCAGCTAGGTTTTGAATGCATGTACAGAATGTGTTTCAATAATGATGAGAACTATGAAGATGACGTTAAAGGCTTTGTAGAGCTAGCTCTTTGTAAAATCATCTCCCCGTTGATGGGGGCTGTGCAGAGAAAATGAAATGTTGATTTCAATCCTCTGAACACTTCAGTGTTCTAATCAAAGAGCTTGGGCTTTAAGCAGGTGCCCAAAACAGGGCCTTTTGGCACTGGCCTCTTAACCAAAATTTGTTTTGTACTTAACACTGCTGTGTATGGTGATGTCCTTTGCCAGATGGAATTCTCTTGTAGCCTGAACCAAAATCCAGAATCTGAAGTACTCATAACTCTTTGTTGCAAAATTCCCAAAAAAAAAATAGTGAGAGCTAGGCAGGTTCCTAGTGTAACCAGTGAAGTCAGGAGGCCTTTAACACCAGAACCAGCAAACCTGGAAAATAACTCTGAATGGGAAATGCCTAGCCACCAGCAGCAAGTCACATCACTCATACTTTGGTATTTAAGGCCACATTGTACTCAGTAAGGAATGCAGGGTCCAGCAATAGTCATACAACTTAGAATGAAGATAAGCTTACATCCCAAGTTAGATCAGGTCAATACAAGAGCAGAGAGGGAGGACTGGAGGAATAGTTCATCATCAAAATTCACCAGTTGTATGTATCCATTCCTAATCTCAGCTGCAAGCAAAACATTTTGTGAGTTAGAGAATAGAAAAATGATGGTTGTGGTCAGCAGCTGTTTTTCCTTGTTGCACTCTCTCTCTGCATGTATATATGTTGCTTGCAGTTTACTAAATGTTATTTATTGTTTTGTCTGGCAGTTTCACCCTCTGTGGCTGTGTAACACCAGTGAAGATGAGCAGCAAGACTATGGCTTTGTCAGCATGGTCAAATTGGAGCGCCCTGACCGAGACCCACATCCCTGTCTCTCCCTCTTCAACAAGGTAGGGAACTTGTATACATATACAAGATATGTTTATATTTCATCATGTGAAGACTGTACTTAACAAGTGAAATGCAAGTTTGGCTTTTTCACAAATATGTAAAACATGATCCAAGTCGCAGAAGATAGGAATAAGAAAGAGTCTAAATATTTTGATAAATCAGTGATTTTTAATGAAACTTAAATGTTTCCAATTTTCTATTCTGAAGGAGTTACCAGATCGGGTACAGTTCCATGAAAGCAAAATTCCCCAATCTTACTGTGATTCAAAGAGTATACTTGGAAATAGTCTCTTGGGGCCAGTAACCTTTCAATCCCTGGGCTTAACTCTGATTGCACATGGTTTCATGGGACCAGCAATCCCAGGCTCAGTGAATCCCTCAGTATAAATCTGAAGCAACCAGACATTAAACCCAAGCAGGTTATTACTATGGTCAATTATTTGATGCCATATGCTGGGATGAAAATTGGATTCTAAAGCTTTTTGGTGCTTGTTGCTAAGCTTTTAAAAGTTCTGCAGTACTACAAGTGAGGGCTGCACTAGGACAGTGAATATTTGATAGTCCGAAACCTGCAGACAATTTACAGCATTGTTAATTGGCTGCTCCCCTAAAACGAGTGCTGCTGATTTCTATTATCCTGTTTTCCTTGACTTCTCTAATTTTGCTGAAATCTTGTCTGCATGTCCTAGTACTGACTTGTTAAAGACCGTAAGATATAGGAGTAGGACTAGGCCATTCGAATAGTGGATTGAGTCTGCTCCACTATTCGATCATGGCTGATTTGTTTCTCTACCCCATTCCCCTACCTTCTCCCTGTAACCCTTGATCCCCTTACTATTCAAGAACCTATCTATCTCGGTCTTACACAGCAACTAGCTGTTGAGTGTATTTATCTGACTGAGAAGTGCTAGATTAGTAATATAAAATGAAAATTCTGCAGATAAATGGAATTCTGAAATAAAAGACAAGTGATGGAAATGCTCAGCAGGCCTGAGAGTATCCGTGGAGAGAGAAAGAGTTCACTTTGAGATGAGTAAGACTCTTTTTCAAAACTAGAGGAGGACAAAAATGCTGTCAAAAAAGGGAAGTGTGAACGGTTAAACAAAAGAGGGTCTAGGATGTGGGACACATTGAATGACAATTTGAACAACAACATGAAAAGCTTCAAACTGGTACATGGCAACAGAACAAAAGCTAAATGGGACATAGGGTTCATGGTCTGAAATTGTTTAACTTAGAGGATAGTCCAGAAGGCTTAAAATGTCCAATTAGAAGATGAGATCCTGTTTTTTGAGCTTCAATGGAACACTACAGCTGGCCAAAGTATGAATGTGAGAGCAAGATGGTAAACTGGAATGGGAACCCACCAGGAGCTTTGGGTCATGCTTGCAGACTGAGAAAGGTATGCTGAAAGACAGTCACCCAGTCTGCATTTGAGCACCCCAATGCAGAGATGATCAGATCACATTATGAACAGCAAATACACTGGACTAAATTGAAAGACCTATAAATAAATCATTGCTTCTTCTGGAAGGAGTGTTTGGAGCTTAGGATAATGAGGAGAAAGGAAGCAAAAGGGAAGCTTTTACACCACCTGCATTTGAGGAATGGTCCAGGGTGTTGCAGAGGTTGCTTGGAAATGCTGAGAGGGGAGGGGAAGATGTATTTGGTGGTGATATCAGCTGGAAGTGATGGAAATGGTGGAGGCTGACCTTTTGAATGGGGTGGAAAGTGAGGACAAAATGAACCCTATCACTCTTCTGGTCAGGAGGGGAAAAGAGCAAAAGATAAAAATGGGTCAGATGCAGTTGAGGGCCTGATCAATCACACTGGGGAGAAGATTACATCATCAGAAGATATGACTCAGATGGAAAAATTTGGAGAATTGGATGGATTCCTTACAAGAGGCAGAGTGTAAGGAAATGTGAGGTAGTGAAGTTGATGTTAATCCTGGAAACAATGACTTGATGTTCAGTAGTGGAGGTATGGTAGAGAGGGACATGGGAAAAAGTGTCTGCGAGTTGGTGCTCAACCTTTGGTACATCAGACCAAAATATTATAATTGTCAGTGGGTTTGGCACCAACATCATGGTTAGACCAGACAGAACCAAGTGCAATAAGTTCAGAGGAAAGAACGTTAGAGTGAATGAGGAAAACAAAGAAATTAAGATAGCTTATGTTACACTGATGGTTCTTAATGAAAAGTTCAACAGCAAGTAAGAAGGCAGAGGGAAACTCCAAGATGGAGAGAGGGTACAGGAGCAAGTGAAAGGGCTCACTTATCAGGACAAGGACTTTAAGCCTAAACAGTGAATGCAGGGACGAAGGTGATGGAAGAGAGTTCAATGTCATGCCACACACAACTGCTTTGAAGTGGAGTGGGGTGGTCTAGAACTGAGTACTTTGCTTCAACATCAGAGACAAAAGTCAGCGAGCATTGTGAAAAGACAGGAAGCAATGAGATTAGAAGTTGAGATGGGGAAGAGACACATGGAGGGACATTGGTGTCCATGAATTGAAACTTGTGTTCCTTAACACCTGACAGGATGAGAAAAAGTTTTTTATTGTTAGTGTTGGTTCAGACACAGAATGAAATAAAACTATGGACCAGGACAGCTTTGAGATCAGTTGAATTGGTGCTGGTGGAGAGAGGGATTGGGAGTGTTCATGTGGCACCACATAATACTGTATGTAAAACTCCGGATGCGATGGGAACAGCAGTTCAATGTGTGTTGTAAATATCCTGTAATCTTAAGTGGAATTAAAACATGAAGGATGAAACTTAAGTTGGAATCCACATAGAGTAAGTTGTAGCTGGACAGCTTGTGTTATGTTCAAGATCTGATCTCTTTCTTTCACATGCTGATTGATCTGTTATGTACCTCTGGATTCCAGTGTTTGTAGGTTTAATCTTCCCCACGATTGAGTTTTAATGAAAGTGAAATGTGTTTAACCTCTGACCTGATGTAGTGTTGTGGAAGGAAACAGGCCTGATGGATTTGGTGAAGTCACATTAAATATGAGACTGTCATCTTTGTTATTAACAAGGCCAAACTTGATGGGAATGGAGCATTTCCCAAAGCAGAAGTGGCCCATTTCTACTCATGGGCAAGGTTCTTAGAAGTTACCCATCAAATCTGGAACTGCACTGTCCATTTCACCTTTAGCACAATTACAAGGTGGTCCACACAACATAGGAAGCAGATTGGTGATCAGCCAATGGATACCTGTGAGTTCCTACCAGTGCACATCACTGATATGTAAGAGCTGAACATTCTAGGTTGCAGCCTGGAGGAAGAGGATCCAGTGGACTGTTCCAGCCGTTTGGTTCAGAGGCAAATCATAGAATCCCTACAGTGTGGAAACAGGCCCTTTGGCCGAACAAGTCCACAATGACCCTCAGAGCATTCCCCCCACCTAGGCCCATCCCCCTATAACCCACCTGCACAACCCTGAACACTGCGGGCAATTTAGCATGGCCAATCCACCTAGCCTGCACATCTTTGGACTGTGGGAGGAAACCGGAGCACCTAGAGGAAACTCACGCAGACACAGGGAGAATGTGCAGACTCCACACAGACAGTCGCACGAGGTTGGAATTGAACCCGGGTCCCTGGCGCTGTGAGGCAGTAGTGCTAACCACTGAACCACCATGACGCCCCAAATGTTTGAATCCAGTTTGACCTCAACCATTGACATTGTTTATCTGGAAGAACTTGTCTTCTAATTTCACTTTCGCAGCCAAGAGATATAATTATGAGATGTTGGAAATTCAAGAGATAAAGGAATCAATAGAAGGATGGGAGATTGCTAGTGTTCAATTGTAAAGTTCAGTTATCAGTCAACTGAATTAATATATATGTGCTGACTGTACTCTTGATAATTGAAGACTTGGATCAGTTGCCTTGATCAACATTGACTATTGGTAGAATAAAATAGAAAGGTATGAAATATCAAAAATGAAAACTTATCATTTACTTTAAATTGAGTTGTAGCAGAATAACTGCTTCTTGGTTGATATTTTCATAGCAAAGATCCTTTTTAAAAGCCAAGTGTTTTCAGGCAAAGTAACTAACTGCCAAGTTCTCCAGAGGAAAGTCTGGTGCCGTAAGCATTTGGAACACCTGCCTCCCGTACCATACTCGGAGTTTCTGCCAGGATGAATTCACTTGGATCCTCCTACAGAGAAGCTGTTAGCAGGAAACAATCGAGCAAAATAATTGCTGCTCTTTCAGCTATCTAAGCTCAATGAAAAACAAGCCTCAGAGATCTTGTTCTTTAAAGTATTCTTCTATTTATACTCAGATTGTTCTTATGAGAATAGCAAGTGCCTGCTGCAGATATAGCAGAGGCTAAGATAGATAGACGAGGCAAACTCAAGGGATCATTTCCCTTGCACCTCCCATGTGCCTAATGACGTTGGCAGAACATTGTTCAGAGATTGCGACTCTGCTGGAGCAACTTGCAGGATTCTCATTAAGACTTTCTACATCTAATTAAACATGTCTCAATGACTACAATATATTTGCTTTGGTTGCATGTGGTAGCTGTTTGGGGCAGGTCTGAACAACAATGATTCCTAACTCATCTTTATTGAGTACGAGTTGACACATAGTGTTTCCTATATGCTGAAAGTGTTTTGATATATGTCCTTTGTAATATTCTGTTCAGTTTTTCCTGGAGTGTGTTTTACATAATCTCGAGGGTTAGGTTAACAGCAGTTGATTTGTGTTGTGGCTGGAACTTCTCAAAACAAGGCATCAACCCCTTGTCCCTTCTAAACCTTTTTCCATCCTTCTCCACAACTTCATCCCTTTTCTCTTTGGTCAACTTCCCACCTTCTCCTCCCATTCCAACATCTTTCCTGCATTTCCTCAGTTCTACATCCTTTGCCACTTCTTTGCTCCCATTCTTTCCAATGCTACCCACTTCAATGATGGACTTCAGTGACTCCTTGCCAGAGTTAAACAGTGTTTTTGGAATGGTTGAGGTACTTGCA